TTTTTCTCTTCAATGTTAAAAAAAACAAACTAAAGTCTTCCTGAAATCGGTTGTTTAATTAAWCAGAAACCTATCAACATTATGACAACTCTGTAGCTATGGCAATTTGAATTAAACACTCAATTACTTAATCATTTATTCGATGCTTTTTGCCTTAATAGTATCTATATTCACACAGTGAGCTGCTTAAAAAAACAATTCTGCTGTAAAAAAAGTAACTTTAAAATCATAAAAGATGCCAAACTGTTGATGTAATACAGTATTTAAGTATTTAACAGTCTTRATAATCAGGTTTTATTTGAAGGTACTGCAAGACACTGATCCTTTCTAAYGACGGGTAAATTTACTCTGCTTCTTGTCTTTAATTAGATTTTCTTAATTTCTCTCATTAAGGCTGCCAATTAGCTGAAGACCCAACAATATACTGTACTTGTACCCGCTGCTAACWTGAAGAATAATCATTGATCTGAGAGCAGAGCGGTATGAGTCACAAAATAAAAAGATACACAGAAGGATGCAAAACTATTCACCCCCTCCCTTTAGCCTTTTCTTTATGTTCTGGTTTTTCACAACTTCTAATTTAAAATTAATTTGGGAGGTTGGGTCTTGATTACACAACATAACTAACAGTAAGAATACAAACTTCTTTTGAAGAAACAGGGCCTGAGTGTGCAAAACTACCCACCCCACCACCCTTTTGAGTTTTTATCCGTTCTTCATGAATAAACAGCTACAGGTTGGACAGCTGTTTGTGTCACTTAATCTTTAAAACCAGAGCTTCTCAGCCAGTTAAAAAATCTGGACTTGGACTGGACTGTTTTAGGACATTTAGACGTGTCTCATTGAATCCATGTGTTTGGGGTCATTGTCCTGTTGGGAGGGTAGACCCCCATCTTAGTCTCAAACCTCAGGCAGCCTCCTCTGAAAAACTGCTCTCTTTTAGACTTTGATTAGTTTCCAAGATTCTGCTGATTAAAAAACTTCCCACATAATGATGCTGCCACCACCATGCTTGACTGTGATGCTCTCAGAATGATGACATGACATTGTCCATTGACATTTTTAATGGTCAACAAGATTAATTTTAGTCTCATCTGAGCATCTCTCCAATACATCTTATGAGAAATTCCAAACGCTCTGTATGCAAAATTATCTTTATGCTTTATATCATAATATCATTCCTTCATCAAAAATCCATTGTTGTTTTGACTTATTCATGCATGTTTGAGAAATCCTTGAATTTTCTGTGGTAGTTATGTGGAGCTGATTAAATGCTGGTTTAGGTCGAATGTATTGCTCATGTCAACAACCATGTTTTATTAAAAACCAGTGATTATAAAAGTGTTTGGATATGAGACATATATAAACACCAAGAGTTGATACCAAAGAGTAGCTGGTTCCACAGTTTAGGAACTTTACATAAGGACCTGATCACCTCTGAGGACCAGTCTGGACCTCAGGACAACTAAAGACCTGATCATCTCTGTGGACCAGTCTGGACCTCAGGACAGCTAAAGACCTGATCACCTCTGTGGACCAGTCTGGACCTCAGTAAAACTAAAGACCTGATCATGTAGTGTATTTTTTCCAAAATACAGTACTTAGATTTATAATTATTTAGTTTTAGTTCTCTTAAAAGTTTAAAGAGTGAAATCCTAGTTCCAATGCAAAAAAATCACCCAAAAAGGAGGTTTCCAAATGATGAGAGAGTAGGCTTCGATGCAAGTTTTTAAAAAGGTTTATTTTATGCCCCAAAAACAGCTGACATTCCATAAACTTTTGAGTCAAGCCAGTCCGGACCACGCGTTGACTGACCTAGACAAAGCAATGCTGTCGAATTTATAGACGATGTCTCCTCCTTGGAGCCTCCTTTRGGGCTGTCTTCTGTTGTCGAGGTCCACCCGTGTTTCCCTCTTCTGGAACCTTCTTGGCTTCGGTTTCAATGATGTAATGTTTTCTCTCTGCTCCGCCCCTTAATGTTTGTCCGATCTTTGAACTTACGACACAGTTGTCCTCACTTTTTCATGATCCTAGGTTTTTTTACATGCTTAAACTAAACTTTAAATTATACAGTTTTAGCTGTGTGTTTTAAATCATGCCTACAATGTTTCACATTAATGTGCAGTTCAGCACATCAAAGATACATTTTTACCTGAACAGCTTCAGTCTAACACATTTCATTTATATGATCACACAGCCGAGGGCTTTTTCCATATTACTACTGGCCTCATTTGTTTTGCTACAGCGTACATGTCAACCTCTTTGGACATTTACCTGTATAAAGAGCCCCAAAAATCAGTAAATTTCGCAAAAAATCCGTACAACTCGCACCCACGGGAGTGTGGGCGTGGGGTGTCGGCTGCGGATATGAAAGTGCCCGCTGCAAAGCAGGAGGAAAGGAGTGAGGAAAAAGTTCAAAACTTATTTCTAGCGGCAGAACAGGTTGGAAGATGGCTGTTTGGTGTTATTTATTGCTTTTTAAATCATCCTACAGGCTCTGACATGTTAGATAAATTTGAAAATGATGTTTTGAAAAAATCCGTCTCTGTGAATCTTTGTAGATCTTGGTTTAGTTCCTGGGGCTGGAAGATGAGAGTTAGCTGGATTTGGGCATGGCGTTTGTTTGATATTAATCTCGCCAGGTTCTTTCATGTTGTTAGTAAAATCCAGGAGGGGGCATTCCACTTGATGTCCTGTTGGAGTCTCAGAGGACAAGAGATCCTCTGTTTGTGATGCTYATGAATCCAGTTGTTCTTCTGGTTCTGCAGCTTGAAGTAACTCCTCTCTCTCTGGTTCTGATTCTGAAGCAATCTCCTTATCAGTAACTGGCACGCTGTGTTCCACTGATATCATAGTTTTCTCCAGCTGTCCTTCAGACYTCAGCTGTTGTGGTTTTTCCTGTTGTTTGTTTCCAACCAGAACTTTGTTCAGGAAATACTTCATGTTTGAAGCCAGAAGTTGTGCTCCAGTTTGATTCAGAGTCAGCCCATCAGACTTGAAGAGATATTTTCTCTCCCAGAAGAGATCAAAGTTATCCACAAAACTCAGAGTGGTCAGCACAGGACTTTTCCAAAAAGCCATTAAGGGCAAACAGTCTACTGAACCTCTTGGCCCCTCCTCTGGCTGTAGGAATGGGCCCACTGATGAACACATCCATGTTGAGATTTTTAACTGCATTCAGCAGCAGAATAAAATCCTTCTTCAGGATTTCTGACTGTCGGTTCATCACTTCATCACTTCCTGTATGAATGATGAGGGTCTTCAGAGTTGGATACTCAGCTGTTATTTGCAGAATCTTCTCTGTGAGGTCAGACACTTTATCAGCTAAACTCAGAACTTTTGACTTTTTTCTTGTTCCAGAAGCCTCTGATCTCATTCACCATTTTATCTGTGATGATCAGCATTTCTTGATTTTTGAAAGTCTCTTTTTGGACTTGCTTTGGCTTTGGGCTGGATCTGGATCAGGTCTCAGATCCCTCACTAAGATCAGATAGTGAACTTTGTTCAGACTCACATGCTTCTTCCAGTGGTGTGAATCTGTTTTGAAGAAAGACTGCTTCATTTCTTTGGCCGTTATCAGTTGTTTTGATTACAGCCTGTTGCTTTCTTCTCCTTGCTGTAGGAGAAAAGGCATTTCTCTGTAATTCTGGCCATTTGATGTCATCTAAGTGCTGATTCTTTCCTGAGAGATTTTTTGGTCTGGCACAGAGAGTTCCATACAGTTTTACACTCAGAAGCAGCTTCCATCTCCTCTCCATGTTGATKTCTCKTCTCAGCCTTCTCACCCATTTTTTAACACATGTTGAGTTCTCCAAAGCATTCATCTCTTCCAAACGATGAATCTTGAGCTCCAACACTGTCACCTTTTGGAGAAGCTGGCAGAAATCCTCTTTGGAAAAGTAAGGAGGCATCTTGTAGCTTTTACTCACTCTCAACAGATGAGGTTTCAAAAATCTTCTCAGGTTCTTCAGCCAAAAATAAAAATTAAGTGTTCTTTTTTATTCAACATCATCCATCACGATCGTCACCAGCGTATCTCTGTTGTTAAAAATTTACCATAAAAAAGTTATTTTCATCCAGCTGGAGACACGGTCTTGAGCAGTCCAGTCCTCACTCATATCAGTCCACCTGCAATGTGGCCTTGGTCTGTCGATCTCCTAGTGGTCTCTGCTGACAACGCCAACTGTTATGGCAATATTTATTTAATTAAGACAGAAATACGTGGTCCAAGAATGAAGGTACTCGGTGAGATGATCAGCTGAGTTTTATTGCAACAACAGGAAACACAGAACAACCTGGCCTGTCTCTGTGCCTCTGCTTCTCTCTGTCACTGTCTCTCCATTCCGTCCACTCTCCACTCTGTCCACTGTTGAGAGTTTAGTCATTTTATCTGCACATTAGTAAAGCTTTTAATTATTTCTGCTGATAAATTTGAATACCCAAACATTATTTGAGGTTTACTCTTTAAAATGACATCAAAAAGTCCTCATTAGAAAAACCCAGATATTTGATTTTGTTCATTTTTTTGTTTTATTGTTATTTAATACCATTGAGATCACAGGCACTCAAGAGCGGCCTTGGCCTGAAGGTAAAATATTAAAGATAAGATAGACCTTTATTGTCATTGTAGAGAGCACAATGAAATTACAGTTCAGACCACCTACTCAGAAGACAGAACATAACAAACATAGGAGAACAGGTGCTCTGGGTCATACAGCCACAGACCTCTGCACAGAGCAAGGATCATCTTCATGAAGACATCACGAGGAGGTGCAACCCTTAAAAGAAAAACTAAAGACCACACAAGGGTGGCACGACTGGAACTTTGAGCASTGAAAWACAGTCGGACAACAAAAAAGGTTTAATATGTTTAATAAGCACAGCTTTTGAAAAGGCAAGGTTTTTGTTCTGGGCTGGATCTGGACCCAACAAATCTAGGCAGAGGAGAACAGGATTAGTTGAAGCACAAACTTTGTAAATAGTGGAAATGTAGATAAATTCCACCAACCTGTTCGTCTTTGAATTGGTCCGACCAGAAACTCCGGTTACTTGAGGTTAGTTCTGGAGGGAAGTGACGTCACTGTTTTTTTTTTTTTTTTTTGTTGGCTTGGTAAACTCCATGATTCTGAGACAGGGTCGTGAGATGGAAGAAGGTCAAACACAGAAGGTCGTTATTTACCAGGCAGATGGGGTTGGACAATATCCAGTAATCCGGAAGACAGGCAGGGGTCAAGAGCCAGAAGATCTGATGACTGACGGTACCGATAAGGGGTGCGACYAGACCCGTTAATCCGAGGAGAATGGCGAGGGTCGTAATCAAGGAGGCAGATGGCAGGAAAAATCCGTCAGAGGCAAAGGCAGGAGTCGGGGAACCAGAGGACAAAAARYGGGTCGTGATCACAGGACAAGAGCAAGGCATGAGGAAGGAACGCTGGAAGATCATAGACAGAGCTAATGATAATCTGGCACTGGGCAGAGGTAGGTGGCTGCCTTACAGTAAATAGTGGGAGAAACAGGTGAACTGAATGAGCTGATTACATGAGTCCGTGACAGGGAGGGCAGAGAACATGAGCAGACAGGGACTAAATGAACAAAATGGTGAAATCATAACAAAGGGAAGATGAGGGGAAAAAACATCATATTATATCAACAATGTGACACACTGGTGTTTATAAAAAAAACTCTGCATAGAGCACATTTATTAGCCAGAGGAGTAAGTGAGTTTAGGGGGGCGTGTATCTGAAGCCATGAGTGTTGTATGCACCTGTGTGAATATTTGAAGAATGAGCCCAAAGAATCGAGTCCCCAAAACCAGCACAGCCATAGTTCAGACTATGGATGTTAAGTGTTCATTCTGTGCGGCCCTCAGCTTGCTCCAGGAACCAGATCACAGGCGGGTGGGGGGGGGCAGACCCTCAGTCGATGAAATCCAACCAGGAAGAATTTAGTCAACAGCTCAAGGCCATGTAGAGGAGAGCCAAATCTGTAATCAGTTGTTTTGGAACAGAAGAACTGTTTAGGTTAGGCAGACAATAACAATTTTCCATCTGTTTTAATGTCTGCTGGTACATCTCAATGTACTGAATCCAATCAGACAAATAGTGTGGACAATCCCGCTGAGCTGAGCTCTCAGCTTTCTCAAAGATCAATTCCATCTGGCCAGCAAAGTCCAGCAACCACAGCCGGCCCACGACCCTCAGCAGAACCGCTTGCAGACCAAGTCCAGCTCGCACAAGGCAAAAGTCCGAGTGCTGAAAGAACAACAATCCTTCATAATGGTCAGACAGCCAGGAAATGAAGCCACCGACACTGTTTTGCAGAACACCAGGAAATCACCAAGCCAATCTGTAGAATCCAGTGATCGGAATCCAAATATACATCCAGAACAGAGTAGAACAGAGGCCCCACATTTGACATGTCCTCCCATGGAAGAAAAAACTTTGTTCCAAAAAATTATTAAGAGACCAGCGAACCAAATCCATAAAAATAAAAATATCCATAATTTCTTGTTTCAGATGAAAACGTAGAGAAGGCTTCGAGTAGCAAAGCAGGGAAGATGAGGAAGGGCAGGAGAGAAGGAAAAAGTGTCTTACTTCAGAGAGTGGAACAACAACAAAAAAATTGTGTATTATTGTACGTGTTTTTGTGTTGTGGGACAAACCGGAGTACCCGGAGAAAACCCACACAAACACAAGGACAACATGCAAACTCCAGACAGAAAGAATTTCTTTTTGAAGATTTTTCCTTTGAAAGAAAAGTATAAAACTGTAAAAATCTGTTTTATCTCTTAGAAAAAAAATCAAGTCGTTACATATTTTGTGATAAAATAAACTTTGTAAAATCTGTTAACCAATAAGTCTAAGAAATTCTTTGTATTTTTTTCTATTTTTCCTTCTAGGTTTAACCTCTACAGGACCTGCTTTATTCACCTGGATGCTGAAAATGAAATGCTCTCTTGCTGCTACAGTTTTCAGTGAGGTGAGCTGCCCGGAGGACGCTGTGATCTGCGGGGTGAATATGTCCTGGCTTTTAGCTAACGCTACAGAAGAAGATGTGAAGGAAATGTGTGTGAACGAGGAGAAGTACCTCGCCGAGCGCCTAGGTCCTCTAGAGTCCCCCTGGTTTCTTCCTGTGTGTGCCACCTACCTTGTTATTTTCACGGTGGGGGTCCTGGGCAATGCCCTGACTTGTACGGTCATTTTACGCTACAAGGTAATGCAGACGCCCACCAACTACTACCTGCTCAGTCTGGCGGTGTCCGATCTGCTGGTGCTGCTGCTGGGCATGCCACTGGAGCTTTACGAGATGAAGCACAACTACCCCTTCCTGCTCGGGGAGGGGGGCTGCTACTTCAAAATCTTTCTGTTTGAGACCGTCTGTTTRGCCTCCATACTTAACGTGACGGCTCTTAGCGTGGAACGCTACATCGCRGTGGTGCATCCCCTGAAAGTCAAACACATGACCACGGGTACTCACGTTAAGAGAGTCATTGTCACGCTGTGGGGGCTGTCCATGCTGTGCGCCATGCCCAACACCAGTCTGCACGGGACTGTGGTGTTACCTCCGAAGTTTGGACGAGAATTTCCCCGCTCTGCCATCTGTCGTACGTAAAGACGTTTCCATTTATCCTTTGAGCTTTTACAAACTTTAGTTAGCTTATYCTTTAACATGACACAGTGCACATATTACTCATCAGAGGCATGTTTTGAAATGATTTTTTTATGATTCTCTCATGCCCATCATGTGTCTATCCCTCTCTGTTTTACCTCCATCCTCAGATGTGGTCAAGCCCACCTGGATATACAYCCTGATCATCCTGATCTCTACGCTGCTCTTCTTCTTTCTCCCCATGTTGATCATTAGCATTCTCTACTTGCTCATTGGCCTGCAGCTGTACCGGGAGAAGCTGATGACTGTCATGGGGACTAATTGCAGCTTTGATCCTGACAAAGTCTTCAAGTCCCACAAGCAGAGGCTGACCAAGCGCAACCTGCAGGTTACCAAAATGCTCTGTGAGTGCCATTTCATTAAACTATTCTCCTAAAACAGAAGGTTAAAGTTAAGATGAAGGAAATCAAAAATGTTTGCACTACTCTGCAACAGTAATAGTCATAGTGCAAGWCTTTAGGCCAGGGTRATCAAACTCATTTTCACTGAGAGCTATATGAGCATTATGGTGGCCCTRGAAGGACCAGTTGTATTTAACTAAAAAGTTCAAGTTCAAGTTTATTRATATAGCGTCAAGTCACAACATATGTTGTRTCAGGGCACTGTACATAAAAATAATAARCTAAAGAAGAAACCAGCAGGCTGCYTTGAATCACTTCATCAKAGTCTCCCATCCTGAGCAAACAGTGGAGAGGAAAAACTCCCTGCTAATCAGGAAGAAACCTCCAGCAGAACCAGGCTCAGGACAGGAGACCATCTGCCTCAACCGGCTGGTTGAGGGACAGGAAAGAGACACAGACAAATGTAAAAGAACTGGTCCGGGACTGGTCCAGGTGCACCTTCTTCTGGAAGAGACAAAGAAAAAACATGATAGAAATAATTACAATAAACATGCAGAAAAGACAGACTAAAGACAACAGCAGAGTGAGGAAATGTGCTCAGTTTGTGATCCAGCAGTCTAAGTCTATAACAGCAGACATGGGCATGGAAGTGGGGGGAAATGTGGACCTGACTACCCAGGGCCCAAGAAGGGAGAGGGGCCCATGGAAGTCCTGATTTTATTTCTTATTTACTTTTTCCCAAATGAAATGGGCCCTTCAATTAACTGGTGTAGTAATTTATTTCAAATATATTGATGACATAAACTGAGAGAATGAACGTTATTTTACTGTCCACACCATATTGGACATTCAGGGGACCCCCCTCTCGGAGGCGCAAACTGTTTTAGTCTGCCCGACAGCAACCAGGAAGTGTGGAACGCAGACACAGCTGAAAGAGCTACGGGCAGACCTGGACAGACAGAACTGGGAGGTTTCCTGTGGTCTGCCTGCTGACTGGCTGGCCTGCTCAGCTGGTTAAAAGTTTTGGTCGCTCTACAACTTTTAAATATTAACAATTTGGTGTGGTCAATGCACCTCGTCAGAGCTGCTGCATGTCCCGGAGTCCGATGCCCTCCCTCCAGCTCACTGAGACGCACACACAGTGCAGAGACACAACGTGGTGATGACTTTTCAGTGCTCCTGGAGCTGCTGCAGGTGACGTCAGAGTCATTAACAGAACATCCAACTTTTGATCAAACTGTATTCTTTACAAAGAACCAGAAACAAGTCCACAGGGCAGCTGTTTTTCTTATGAAATATTAGCTTGCTGCTATAGTTACAAATCATAGCTGATGTTAGTGATCACTTTTAGTGATAGCATTTAATCTATTATTGAATTGTTTTTAATCAGTTAAACTGTAGTTTAATCCTAAAATTGAGTCCAAGTTCACTCTGATATTTATTGATTGTAATTTACATTCATAAATCACCAAATATTTCTGTTATTTAGTCTACCTGCTTCAGTACACCTGTATAATACAGTTAATTTCCCTCTGGGATCAATAAAGTATTTTTGAATTGAATTGAATATAGTAAAGCTTATAAATATTATAGCAGTACATTTAAATTAGCACGAATAAATTCATCACATTAAAAAAAGTTTAAGTTTCTTTTAGTTTCTGTATTTTCTGCATAAAAACAGCTTCATGGTCAGAAAACCTTTCCTTTTTAACAGTGAAATGATGCAAAGAAAATATAGTAATCTGGTATTTATTCATGTTATTTCATTTTCTTGAGTTTTTAAAGCTGACTGACTTCAGGTGGCAGTAAAATACCTGATACTTAATCTATCTCTAGGAGCTGGATACAGAGAGTCAGGGGCAGCAGGTAGGACAGAGTGTCTCAGGTAGGACAGAGTGTCTCAGGTAGGACAGAGTGTCTCAGGACAGTGTCTCAGGTAGGACAGAGTGTTTCAGGACAGAGTGTTTCAGGTAGGATAGAGTGTCTCAGGTAGGACAGAGTGTCTCAGGACAGTGTGTCTCAGGTAGGACAGAGTGTCTCAGGTAGGACAGAGTGTCTCAGGACAGTGTCTCAGGTAGGACAGAGTGTTTCAGGACAGAGTGTTTCAGGTAGGATAGAGTGTCTCAGGTAGGACAGAGTGTCTCAGGACAGAGTGTCTCAGGTAGGACAGAGTGTTTCAGGACAGAGTGTCTCAGGTAGGACAGAGTGTCTCAGGACAGAGTGTTTCAGGTAGGACAGAGTGTCTCAGGTAGGACAGAGTGTCTCAGGACAGAGTGTTTCAGGTAGGTCAGAGTGTCTCAGGTAGGACAGAGTGTCTCAGGTAGAACAGAGTGTCTCAGGACAGAGTTTCTCAGGTAGGACAGAGTGTCTCAGGTAGGACAGAGTGTCTCAGGACAGAGTGTCTCAGGTAGGACAGAGTGTCTCAGGTAGGACAGAGTGTCTCAGGACAGAGTGTCTCAGGTAGGACAGAGTGTCTCAGGTAGGACAGAGTGTCTCAGGACAGAGTGTCTCAGGTAGGACAGGGTGTCTC